ACATCGCCGCATGCACCTCACGCCCTCAGGTGATCATTGTGCCCAACCATCGGTTATCCACGTTCCCAAAATAGCTAACTATGGATTTTCCACTTGTTGCCTCGACACCGACGACTGGCCGATCTTGTCTCTTGTGTCTAACGAACCACTGACGTAACGCGTATTTAGTTTAAAAATTATTAGTTAATTGTAGACTAAGACCGATTTCTTTAAATTATGATTTTAATAAACGGTGACGCATTATTGTTCCTGTTGACGAAGCCGTGTCACCGACGCTGGAGACGGCTCACGACTGCCAGCAACGGCGCCCGTCGTCGTCTCGACCCGGACCACCTACGCGTCGTAAACCCCTACCACTTTCAACCCCCGGACTACTTCTCATTCACCAACAATTTTCGCTGGGCATTTTAGTATGTAAATGACCAGTTCCCATAACATGGCCAAATATCTTTTTATAAAAACCGCAGTAGATTATCCTAGTTTTCATACAGCTAAGATTAAAATTAAAATTAATCTGTGCATTTAATTCCCCCAATAACACAAAGTCATACCGACTACCTAGACTCCTTGTTCGTTTCTTATTACTGCCACAAAATCTCGCACAAAATAATAATAATCTGTATGTGATGATAGCTCACATTCGCTCCAATTACTCCAGATCACTTTAGAAAGAACAGTACAAATTAATAATTCTTGAGTTGTACTTGTTGCATTTTAGAAAATCAATAAAGGCCAGAGCTCCGTTCCAACCAATTCTTTGGTAAACAACCGCACTTCATGAATTTGTTAAGGAGTGCTTAAAGGAAATGAACTTCATTCAAGGGCGAAATGAAATCATAAAGTCTTTTATGTCAAAAAAGCACGCGACATAAAAATACATTATAGTATATAATTATGGCTATATTATATAGTGTTTACTAAATGACTATTCTATTTTATGTGCCAAAGTAGTAAGATAAACGTTTTTGTTTCTGCGAGAACCGTCATCAATCATAGACACTTGGAAAAGTGGGATTTTCGTCCTATTCTCAAAAATCAATAAAATCGGAATAAATACCGATGACGGGGATTGTGACAAGTGGTTCGAGTGTTCCAGTGAGATTAAAATGGTTCCCCTGGAAGCTTTGACATCTATTAACTTTAGAATTGAAGTGCACGCGCCCGTACGAATGTGAACACACACACATTTTCAGCCGGTTTTCCCTGCCATTAGACCAGGAAAGACTTTGATGGTTTCTAAATTTCTGAAAAATTTGAAAAATTGTAAAGTACCTCAAAAAGGGGTGGACGACCCACCCTTTTTTGAGGTACAGGGTAAGTACCCCAACTTCACACACAAATGATTTAATTTGCATTTTATTGTGAAAAGTGTCAATTTTAACATATTCAAAATCCCCATTAATTAAGTCAGAATCTAGATGGCGATTGAATTTTGTATTTTTCACTAAAAAAATTATAGCTTTGTTGTTTCACTGAAATTTGGTAAAGATGTATAGAATACAAAGGCAAATTGCCTATTATACATTAAACAAAACTTTATTACACATTAAACTTAAAAGAACAGAAAAAACATTATTTCAAAGTATGGGTCATTTTCCATTTTTGAACAAAAATTAAATTGATTTGACTGTTTTTCCACAATTCATCATATTTAATCGGTGCTATGGAATAAGGACGCAGTTAAATGAAAAATTCGACTTTCAGCCGCCATCTTGGAGTTTAACTGATTTCCTGGGGTCGGGATTAATGGGGATTTTGAATAGGTATGTCAAAATATACACTTGTCGCTGTATCATGCAAGAAGAATGGTTTGCAATTTTGTTTTGCCCAGATTATATAATTCAGTTTTACTTCACTATAACCTTTTTCCCCTTTGTTCCCCAGATTAACTCATACATTTGATCATGTTGGCCCCTAGTGATTCCACAATGAGCCTTGTGCCATTGCAAAGTCGTTTTGGATTCAAGTTCCTCGACAGCATTACACAACAGTCCTTTTGCGCATTTTCCAACTCTTGTTGGAAGGCACTATTATGGTAACTTTATCCGTCAGTCCGTCCATCCGAGGCATTAACTAGTCCTACAGTTTTTCAATATATTTAGTTCGTTCTTTTTTAATTTGGTACCTTACAGCTCTGACACCTCAGCCAAGAAAAATCTTGGCGATTAATTGCGCAATATCAACTTACTTATTTATTAATATATTTTGTTGAAATTTTAACCACAGATACTTTTAGTAAATGCAAACATATCGCATATAGTAACAATCAGATGTTCGCATGTGCAAACTGCGCAATGCCAACTCTCTTATATTTATGTTATGGAGAATTTCTTTGAAATTTTGGCCAATGATGCTTTTAGTAAAAGCAAACGTATCGCCTATTGTAAACGTCAGATTAATGTGCGCATGCGTAGGATGCCCAATATCAATTGTCTTATTTATCGAGATATCTTTTTGAAATTTTAATCACAGATGTTTCTGTTAAAGGCAAACATATCTTATATTGTAAACATTAGATTGCGCATGCGCAGTCTATACGCATTCTGCGCAGTGTCAACTTCCTTATGCGCCGACGTTACTCGCCTTAGGATTTAAGATTCTTCTAGTAAAAACAAGGATATCGCATAACCACAGATGTTTCTCTAGTACAGACAAGCATATCTTGTCAACGCTATAATATGTCTGAATATATTTACATATTTATTACTCTTTCGCTTACAGTTAGTGCGCCTGCATTGTTTGGGCAAAGAATGGCTCTCGAAGCAAGATCGTCAGGAGTCCGTTCATTTATGTATGTCTTCATCGAATGCAGCTGTCAATCTTTCGTAACAGTTGTGGGTTGAACTTCACAAATTCAGCATAAAGTCCCTATTCTGTGATTCCAGATCCTACTTGCTGTAACTGTAACTAAGCACAGAAAGTAACATCTTCAAGATTGACAAGCATGTTTTGGATCACATGCAACTCATAAAAATTGTTCCAAACATCGGTTCTCTTTGTTCTATGTTCATCATCCCTTTTGAGATCAATTATATCGGAATTCCTATACGTCTTTAATGGTTGGAAGGCCAAACTCTGAGAGGGTTTGATCAAACTGACGCAAATCACGTTCGCTATCCCTAACAGATTGTTGTTTAACCATGTAAACCGTATGGGCCTGCAGATAATCTTCCATTAGATCCATTTTAGGTACACTACCGCTCAAAAGTATTCAGCCACTAACATTTTTTAATTTTTTATTGCTATATACTAAATTTATGGTGTTTTATATTCGCTCCAAAAGACTTTTTGCAGTCTTCAACAGTCCAATTGTGGAGTTGTCCAGTACAAATTAATCGTTTCTTTTTATAATTCCTCTTTCCCCATTTTAGCAATGTTATTGACTGAAACTTAACAGAATAGTTATTTATATAACAAGAGCGCGAAGTTAAATTTCGCGCATTGCCGAGCCAAAAGCCAAAATGTCAGTCAAATGCACAAAATAACTTTCACGCTAGCGTTATATACAATATTTTCTCTACAACTGAACCGATTGTTAATTAAATTTGCTAAGTATTTAAGTTCAATTTTGTCATGTGTGCGAAATACTTTTTTTCATTGTTGACGGTTACGTGCACGTTACAAGAACAACCTTACTTATTAATTAACCGTTTAAAAATATAGTACTTCGCGTTTCGAAATCCGTCAGAAAATGACAGGTTTTTACTTAGACCGTGGACTGCTATTAACCCTATGCTTTCAATACAAAATGGGTGGTTACGGATAGAGGGCACTATAGCCGGGGGTATGCATTGGGTATGTGAATCTCACGAAGCTTATTGTTCAGAAAGTTTACGTTTGCGACGCGAGCGAGCTTGCGAACGAGTGGAGCAAGATTATTCTGTCTGAATAAGGGGGTTATTTACAGCTTTATAGAGGTTATACGGTTATCATTTCCAATGTCTCTGATGGTTGCAAGGATTGCGAAATTGTGAATTTTTTGACAGTTGTAGAAAATAGTACATTATATACCAAAGTGGTTCGGCGAACCTGGCTTGACGAACCACGAGTCGTCTGACATAGGAGGTTCGCTATTGACTCGTGGTGCGCTCGCGGTGCGTGGTGTGTGGTTCGTACGATCCGTTGGCGGTCGGTAAAATAAAAGTGCACACATCAAAGGAGTTCGGTTTGTTGGTTCGTGTAGGTTTGCTATACTGCGAACCTGCTGCTGCCGGCCAGTTAGTTTTCTGATTCCGTTATGTCCAGTCACTTGAAATAGGCTATAAGTTCACTAAAATGCCGTGGAGTACTGAAAAAACATTACAATATGTTCTCTTGTTCTTTTAATTTTTGAGTTTTTTCATTGTATTTTGCAAAATTGTTCCCGCGTAAATAACGCACAAGCTGGCAGAAGCAATAATTCTCTGTCTAGCATCCATGGTCGTTGTTGCAGTACTGATTTTGGTTCCGTATTATGAAGACGTGTAACCGCGCCTTTACACTATGCCCTAATCTAGACTCTCATACGTTTAACCATTACCACAAGGACATTTGTCTACTTATAGGTACATACAGATTGTAGGTACTTATCATATCACATGATGACGAACCCAAGTGTGTTTACTTCATCATTGAGACGATAAGTTTAATTTTTCTAAACAAAATCGTGTACTTATAAATCTATTTGCAGCAGATGCGGTTTTTAAATAAAAAGGGCGCTTACTTTGATTTCTGCTATACTCCATAAGTATAAGCACAGATATACCTACGTAATATTAAATATACATAAATACTCGTACATAATTATACGTAATATACATAAATATTGTTAGCTTAATATAACACCTCCTGATTCTTCTTCAACTATTTGTTAATTTGTTTACTACATTACTTCTTTTACTATTAAAATCAAGTGTTGGTTATTTCTGGGTCGAGTATCATTTCCTATCGAGTTTTATATAATAAATAACAAATTGCACACAAAAATTTACAGTTTCATTAACATTAGGTTATCATAAAGCAAAGGTTATTCAATTACGATCTATGTGTTGACAATAAACAGCGATAACTGTCGGTATAAATACCAGCGGACCTCAATGAGGGGTAAGCACCAACTTAACAACAAAATTTATAATGTGGGTCACTACTTTGGGCATTTTCTGCTGGACCATGCTGGTAAATCTTTTTCATTTCTATTATTATTAGAGCTAACTGTGCATCTGTACTGGAATTATAAATATTTCTTTCTTAGGTGCAAGTCCATGGAGGCTGGGAACCAGAAGACGAAATTTGTGTCAATAAGCTAAAACTGAACCGAAATGAAATTGAACCCCTTACAGAGGAAGGTATTCACGATTTGAGCAATGAGAATTATAATCGGTATTCAGAGTGTTACTGGAAAGAGTATAAAATGTTGGGTGATGATGGAGGGATACTATGGAACGTCGTAAAAGAAGTATTGGAAAATAAGTTGGAGACCGATGAGATAGATGCTATTGTCAACGAATGCGAGGAAAAGAAAATTCGTGGAAACAATGTAGGAGAAACAGTAGTGTTAACTCAAAATTGCATTGCTGAAGGTCTCATAGCAAAGGGTCTGGTTTTTTCATTTTGATTCTTATAACTGTATTTTTTAATAAAGTGTACAACTGTATGAACCTCGTTCTCTATCTGCTTGGATTTTTTCACGCAGTACCCTAATAACGTGAGGAGAATAGTGACATGAGGTTTCCAAGTAAATTGAAATTTGACATTAAAATACGATTTTCGATAAATTTAATACAAAACTCGCCAGTAAAATGACATTATAATAGGTTATGGGCGATGAGTGGCAATTCAGGGTCAAAATTCATATGGACTCACTGAATTTAGTGGACGTTTTAACGGGCGATCCAGCCACCGAAGGAAAGGATGGGAATGACTTCTTGAACAGAGATAAAAAAGCGAAGGACCGTCTAGTCTGCCTCATAATTATAATGGGTACTTGTCATATGTACAACGTGACAAGGAGACTGCTAAAGAAATGTGGGAAAGTCTCCACTCGACGTCTACAAGTCTGCTGTTAATCAATTAGGAAGCAATTAGCGAGAAAATGAGCGATGATGATAAAGTTACGACGTCTCATTTGGTCAATTTTGAAAACTTGATTCGAAAGTTGAAAAGTAGAGGTACTGAAATGGAAGAAACTGATTTATGAGCTCAATTTTTCCTAACGTTACCTGACAAATATGACATTAATAACAGCGTTGCGAAATTTAGATAAACTAACATTCAGTATAGTTAAGGAGTTAAAGATGAAGCAGTTGAAGATGAACTCACATCAATAGAGAAGAACAATGTATGGAAGATTGTCGAAAACCCCTGTTCGAAAAAAATTATGGAGTCTGAATGGTTTTTTTCTATAAAATATGATGAAAATGTTGTTCCAAAGAAGCATAAGGCAAGACTAGTTATAAAAGGATATTTACAGAAGCATGGCTTCGGCTATTTTGAAACTTATGCACCTATTGCGAAGCTGGCTACAATTCGAGTTTTGTTAGTTGTTGGTATTCGTCTTGGATATAAATGTGAAAACAGCCTTTTTGCATGGAAATCTAAGAAGAGATCTACATAACCTTACCCGGTGGTGTTATACTTGAAACTTAAAACTTTGGCATATGGCTGGCGTCGCCGCCTCTCCCAGGATTTAGTCAACTGTTGTGGGAATGCGTCCCTGGTAGGCACTATCAGGGGCGTTGCGCCACTACTTTTGTTGTCATTACGCTGGGCCGCGACATATGCCAATATGTGGTGGATTTTGTAGATTGAGGTAGGTTGTGGGGGGGGGGGGGGCTAACTGGGGGTTATCCGACCCAAACGGGNGAAGATAAAGATTTGTGGATCAAAGCAGTTGAAGATGAACTCACATCAATGGAGAAGAACAAAGTATGGAAGATTGTCGAAAAGCCCGGTTTGAAAAAAATTATGGAGTCAAGATGGATTTTTTGTATAAAATATGATGAAAATGGTGTTCCAAAGAAGCATAAGGCAAGACTAGTTATAAAAGGATATTTACAGAAGCATGGCTTCGACTATTTTGAAACTTATGCACCTATTGCAAGTGCTACAAATTCGAGTTTTAGAGTTGTTTATCGTCTTGATATTAAATGTGAAAACAGCCTTTTCATGAACATCTAGAGAGTCTACAAACCTTACCGGGTGGGTTATACTTGAAACTTGAAACTTGGCATATGGCGGGCGTCGCCGCCTTCCCAGGATTTAGTCAACTGTTGAATGGTCCCGTATCATTATCGGCGTATTGCGCACTACTTTTTCATTACTCTGGCCGAAATCTCAATATTGGCTGGATTTTGTATTGAGTAGTTTGGGGGGTCTAACTGGGTGTTATCCGACCCAAACGGGTACGGCCACAGCTTCATCACTGGTATATCTGCCTTAGAAGGAACTCTGCTTTTTAGTGATAGCTTCTTCTCCGGGCGTTCATTGGTTTCCGATGTTCCTATCCTTTGCTCTCATTCCCTTCCATGTTTTCCCTCGTGTTAGGTCCTTTTTATTGTTGTCCTCTCTTTGCGTTACTTTCTGTCTCCTTTTCCTCCTCCCCTTGGCTACTTGTCCAGGTATTCTTCTACTTTCTTTCTTCGTTTGATGTTTGTCTCTGCTCTACTCTTCCCATGGTAATTCCCGAGACCTCTACCGTTTTCTTGCAATTTTTTAACGATCCCTGTGTCTGTTTTTTTAGTTTCACTAGAGCTAGCAAAATTATAAACTCGCTAGGAGCTCGTTGTATATTATGAATTATTCCGAAATTACAATTATAACTTAATTATAAAATGCTTGGAGCTTTTCCAACACCAAGTTATCCGAAATTCAGCCTACAATAATGACCACTAATCTACCCTCAATGAATAGGAAAAATACAGTCATAATTCGAAGGTTGAGGATTGGTCACACAAGGAAAACCCATGGATACCTTTTTGAAAATCAAGACCCTCCATATTGTGAATGCAACGAGCCTTTGTCCGTGAACCACTTCCTCTCACAGTGTCCACTGCAACTGGAAATCCGAAGCAAGTACCATATTGGAATGGACCTTAAAAAAGACCTCTCATTACCGAAAAGTATTATAAACGTACTAAACTTTCTAAGAGATACAAACTTGTACAACTTTATATAATAGTCTAATAAGCGAAATATTATTAGAATACGTGCATTGTAAGTAAAGGTACTTGTAGACGTGCCAATGGCCACTATTCTTCGTTCACCCAACAGAAATAGTTAAGCCACTCCTACAAAATGTGGGCCAATGTAAGCAGCAACCAGTTTTACAACCACAAAATTATAAAAAGCGGAAAATTTGAAAAATCAAATTGAAATGTCACTTGCTCAAGATTATCTATCTCTCTGAATATAAGTCGTGGCAAAAATAGTAAAACCTGCAAACTGTTAAATACATGTAAATATGCAACATAAAAACACTGTTTATATTGAGAAAAGTACAAAAAAGTATTATTACAGCAGCACAAAGTTTTGAAATTACAAGTGCACTTGAATATAAACAAAGGTACATAACAATTTACATCCTGTATCGCTTCACTCGGATTCGGACTCCGTTGACGTCGAGTCATCTCCCACATGAATTACTAATGGCTCCACTACGATGTCCATTAAAATATCAATTTGCCACATTTTTTCCTCTTCACTTTGAGCATGGCGAATTGCGTTCTTCCAATTTCTTGAAGATATTTAAAATGCCAGTTTTGTCTTCAACTGAAAAGTGCTTGGCAGAACGTTTTTTCGGTGGAGAGAAAGCAGCACCGGCGACATTCATGTTTGCGTACAACTTTTCTTGATCGCGAATAATATAACCCTAAAAACAGGCATGTAAAAATCGTGTATAAAATTTTATAATTACTCACCTGACTATCTTTAGAATACACCGACGAGTCTTTATAAAGACTATTTTGTGTGAATAAAGGAGATTAATGGCAAATTGACGCAAGTAAAGATGTAAAAACGTAAAAACCGGCAGAAACGCAATAGGCAAGATGACAGATGACAGATTACCCAATTCGGCCAATTCGCTTTACAAGTGTGATTGTGGCTTCAAAAATTACACCAATAACAATGTCGTATTCAAATGTGGCGGTAATTGTTGAGGAGGGGCTTAACTATTTCTGTTGGGTGAACGAAGTATAGTAGTCGAGGCACACAAATTAAAAAAAAAAAAAAAAAAATTATAACTTTAGGGCAATATTCGAACAACTTCTGGTAAATACATTTTTACCAATTTTTAGTATGTCATTCTGCACACCTCCTACTACAAAATAAAACCATAAAACGTTTTCTTGCGAATTTTTTAACGATCCCTGTGTCTGTTTTTTTAGTTTCACTAGAGCTAGACTATGACCAGTAACTAATGGGAACCAGAAAGTCGAAAACAATTGTTTTGTATCAAATTTAACTAATTTTTTTCACTACTAGCGTCTGATGACATGATTATTAACCTTTTTTCCACTTGTAAAATAGGCTTTCTCGGCATTCGTTCAAAGTGGTTAATAATGGGGACATTATTAACTAGTAGTCAATAATGAGAACTGTCACGCTGTCACTTTTAGAAAACACAACCCGAAATTTCGCTCAATAAACGTTTGGACAAGTTCTCTAAAATGAATAATTGCCACCATCCGCCATTTCCAAAGAAGTTACATATCTAAAATTATCACATTTTGAAAAAATTCGAACGAAATTACTCTTTGAAAATATCTCAATGACAGAACAAAATACGGCCTGTTTGACTTGTACTTCTACGTACTTGATTGATATGTTAAATTAAGAAACAAAAAATTCTTTCCAACCGTTCACTTTCTTAACATAAGAGGATTTCATGTGCTAGTAGTGAAAAAAATAGTAGATATATATACCACGGTAGAGAAGTCTATTATTGCCTTCGCACCTTACACCCCTCGGCAAGCGCCTCGGGATGTAATCTTGGTGCTCAGGCAATAATACTGTACTTCTCTACCTTGATATAATTAATGTACTATTAGTGCTATGACATACTATGCTGGAAACCGCATGCTGTAAATCGCAACCGCAAATTTGAGCGGTTCCCGCATTTTTCATTTTATGGCATACTATATGCGGGAACCGCATGCCGGCGCAGAAAATAGTCCCTTGCTACTGCTGTTATAGAATAATTTTTGGGGAGAATGGACGCATACAAACATTTTCTTAATGTGGTAGCTGTACGTGCAGCCGAAGCAGAAGGGTTACTCGTCAACCCAAGGAGGAGGAGATGTGCCGTGCACCCATATCATCGACTACATCCCGATAATTTTAGTACTTTTTACGCAGATATCAGAAGTTATGGTGGTTTTCAGACATTTTTGAAGACACTATACTACTTGCCGGCAGAAACGTTGCGGCTAGTATGTCATCGAATATCTGTTTCTTTGTGTTCTCTCACTTACCGCAACCGCATTCCCGCCGACAAGTTGCGGCAGCAAACCGCATTTATATGCGGCGACCGCAAAACGCACATGTCTTTGTGCATTTAATTGTACATGACGCGGTTTTTCATTTTCCGGCATGCGGTTTCCAGCATAGTATGTCATAGCACTTACTCAATAATGTTGGTCCGCGTGGCGCGTCACATAAAGGATTCATTATTATAGCGTGTCTATGTTTAAAACATCACGTTCCGTAATGATAAAAGTGTGTGAGGAAATTCTCTCATGTTGTTTTAACAAGAGCATGTGACGTTACCTTCGCCCACGAAGATATAAAATCTTTCTTAATTAGACCGGCCTTGTTTGCAGATTTCCCATTATTTATTATCAGTAGCACTATGCCCTACATTACTTTGTTACATTTACGTAACACAATATACCTACACCTGTACCTACCTTATCCTGCAATTTATCAACCCCCGCTATTTCATCTAAAAGCTTAGCATTACGCAAATTTAGAGCCATCCACTGACTTGGGTAGAAAATTCATGCGACGTTAATAAACGTCGCGGTGTCATTTAAGGTATACTGGTATAACGATGGGCAAAATTAATTTGCATCCTCCTTCTATATTTGTTATAGTTATTTGTTTCATAAGTAGGAAAAATGCACGTTTTCGGGACGAGGTGTTGGACTGTTGGTGGTCGGTGGACGACCACTAACATTTCGAATCACGAAAACGCACTTTTCGTACGAATAATAGTATATTAAGATACAAGTGCATAATCAAGTCTTTAAAGCACGCGCAACGAGTTTAAGGGCACGACGCAAAGCGGAGTGCCTTTAACGTTGCAAGTGCTTTAAAGACCAATTATACACGTGTATCTTATAGTATTTTTTATTATACCTACAGTATAATTTAAAAATAGGAAATACAATGAAGTCATATTGACGTTATACTCGAATACATGTCTAATTAAGTGGGCTGGGTGTTCGTAATTTCACGATTGCCATGGAAATGTCACTTGACGTTTGCTTATAAAAATCATCGTCTTTGTGAATTAAACGATTTCCGTTAAAAGAGATAATACACCGTCCATTAAATCGATTGTTGTAAAATCTAAACAAACGTTGGTAGGTGTAAAATCCAACTCCAGTAAAGCCTATTATAAAGAATATGAAAATTTGTTTCCATGGATGAATAGGAAGTTACCTACGAATACAGTCTTAAATGCATCCATAATGCTGGCATATATGAAGGAAATGTCAAAGGTATTTAAATCTTCTACATTTTGGTGCATTCATTCAAAACTTTAAAGCAATGCTGCGATTAAAAAGTGGAACAGATTTGGAAGCACACCCTAAATTACGCGCGTTTGTGAAAGCTTCAACCAAAGGATAGGTACAAAAGCCAAAGAAATGTTCTGCATTTACAGAAAGCGACCTAGAGGATTTTTTATTTCATCCAGATGACAGTTTCAAAAGTCATACTTGAAGTATCGTTACTTAGCAACTTTAAAGCACGTGTGTTTTAAAGGCCCTTTTTCGCACGCATTTGAGTGTTTAAAACGGAGATTGTGATTCAGGTATAATAAAATAGTTATTTATATAACAAGAGCGCGAAGTTCAATTTCGCGCATTGAGACTGAAGGTATTTCAGTCAAATGCGCGAAATAACTTCGCGCTAGCGTTATATACAATATTTTTGCTACAACTGAACCGATTGTTAATTAAATTGCTGTTTTAGTTCGACTTTAGCCGTTTTGTGTGATTGCATATTTGAACGAGTGCGGAATTTTGAGTTAAAGTTCAACTTTGTCCCGTGCGCGAAATACTTTTTTTCACTGTTGACGATTTCGCGCACGTTGTCAGAGCAACCTTACTTATTAATTAACCGATTAAAAATCTAGTACTTCGCGTTTCGAAATCCGTCAGAAATTGACAGGTTTTTTTGACAGTTGTAGAAAAAACATTTTTTCTCCAACCACTTTTTAGCGCATTTTTTAAAAATTTAAAAAAATGTGCTATTGTTTGCGTTTTGTACATCCGCCTGTCCGTCCGGACCCACTTCTGCCGTTTTGAACTACTTTTAGGGGAATGGTCCTAGAGTCCTGGAATTTTTTGCAGTAGGTAGCCTATACTTTGAAGGTGTGCCACACGGCCAACAAATTTTGCTATCTAAAAGGCCCCCCCCCCCCACGAATGAGATGCTGTTTTTGAAAGTAAAACGTACATAACTTTGACATACGACAACCAATTGGTCTCAGATTTTGCATACGCATGCCTTTAGTGGTGCCAAGTTAAACTTTAGAAAACTGGGGGGGGGGGGGGATAAACACATTTTATTTCTCATTGTATACGTGTCCGTACTCGATCTCGTTCGGTAGTAAAACTACTTGCGATGTTCGGTCCGCAACCATTTATACACGCAAGCAATGTAAGTCAAGAACACTCGCGTAATTACCGGATAAGTCTGGAATATTCCTATACAAATCCCACTATCGCGCGCGTAGAAAATTCCAGAGCGCCAAAGGCGACGTCATGTCTGGAGCGTTTCCGTTACACTGCCCCCTTCTTAATTCTGTACGTCTCGTTCAGAAACTGCGTTAGTATTACTTTTTAATGCCTCGTGTCGGAATCTGCAGTCAGAGCCTGCTCGACAAACACCTTTCTTGAAAAAGTAACAGTCCACAGTTTTCGTAATACCAAAGTGTCCTCCGGAAGCGCCGTCATGCAATTTTCGCAATACTTCCGACACTTTGCTTCTATGTACTACTAATTGCAGCGTCGATTCGGTGCCATCTTTACTTTCAAAGGTCCTATACAACAGGTTATCTTTCAGAGTCAGGCTATTCCATTGGCCCCAATAACTCTTTACTTCAGGACTTGTGGCACTAATGTCTTGCCAGTCTAGTCTTTGTTCGTGGCGCATCCAATTCAGGACAGTTTTTATACTTGGGTCGTTTTCTTGGGCCGTTTTGATTTCGCTTGGCTTCCACTCCTCACTCTCTACAGTTGTTCGTCGCAGATGGCCAATCTTGTCTTCTATTTTAGAACAATGTGTGCAGTTGTCCTTGCACGGTCTTCTTGACAAAGCGTCTGCATTATTGTGAACTTTTCCAGCCGACGTAATGTTTACAGTGAAGATCGGGGCTTTGTTTCTGCAGGTCGACGATAGCCCCTTCCTGTCGACCTTTCTTAGTTTTCCGACTGCTGCAATGGTCTTTGGCAGTTGCGGCGAACGTGTCCAATCTCGCCGCAATTCCAACATCGTGGTTCACGTTTCTTTGCCAATGACTGTGTTGCTTTATTGACCTTTTCTTCCATTACTTTACTGACCTTTTCTACCACTACTTTACTGACCTTTTCTTCAAAACTTTCAGAGCCACCTTCCTCTTCGATGGTTTTTACCCGGCTGTCACTGCGAGGTTCCACCATACGTACTCGCGCACTTCCATGACTAGCTTTCTTGGCGGCTTCGAATTCTAACGCATGGGCCAAAGTTTTCTCAATTTTGTCGTGCCTAGCCAGTCTCAAAGCCTGCTGGGCATCTCCATCACGAACGGCATCGATAAATGTTTGTACAGCCAGTTGATCAAGAAAGCTCTCCGGTGCCGTAGGGTATGCCAATCAAATCAGTCTAGCGATGTCCGCTTCAAGTTCCTGCAAACTTTCTCCAGGTTTCTGCATTCGGTTCTTGACTTGGGCATAGTAAACTTGCTGAAGGTGTTTATCGCCATATCGCATTTCGAGTCGCGCTACTATTTGTTGGAAGTTCTGTTGATCCTCGGGGATGGTCCGCAACACATCCAGAGCATCTCCTCTCAGAGCAAGAATCAGAGCTGTAGTTTTGTCTTGAAGAGTCAATTTATTTGCCGCAGCCGCTGCTTCAAACTGTCGAACGTACGTGGTCCAAGGAATCTTAATACCATCAAAAGTAGGTGGCTTTACTCGGGCTTGCTGAACGTCGCCTTCTACTCTTGTATTTGTTTCTGGGTCGACCTTCTTGTAATGAGTAGGC